TAATTTGTTCATGTAAAGCTAGACAATTATTGGAAACCATTTTTGCAAATTCTTAACAGTCAAATTCACTCTTCGTAGATTACACTTATGAGTTTCTCTAAATTCTGATTTCCAAATAATCATCTGTTTTTATGTAGGAATGAATTAATGAATTAAAACTTATATTGGGCTCCCGTGTAATTTTGGAATTCAATTCAAAAGCTTTGCTATACCTATTGCTATTCATCTTTACTTCTGATAATACACAAGAACGATTCAAACAACCCAGACAAAGTACTTTTGTTTTTAAACACCAGAAGATAAGAATCCGGTAAATAATGTGAATACACAGTTTACAAAAATTATTGCAAAAACAAAATGAATTTTTTGCTCATGCATATAGGACAACCTAGGTAGGGGTGACGAACCTTTTTGAGACCGCATGCCATACTGTAAGCATACTTAGCTTTAAAGATGTTTATGCGTGCCAAAGTTTTAAACTTCAAATAACGATATTTAAATAAATTAAACGTAAATGCTTTAATTAGAATAAATGAAACAATGACTGAAAAAGACAAATGATAAATCAAAATTGTACTCTTACGTGCCATATGATTTCTCCTTATGTGCCACTTTGGGCACTCGTGCCATAGGTTTGCCACCCCTGACCTAGGTTATTGAAGCAGTGAAAAATGAATAAAAACCTCATCTTATATATGAGTAAATATGGTATATTGACAATATTGTATGTATTTTATTACAAATGATTGAAGTGAACCAGAATAATGTTATCAGACTCATTCAATTGAGAAAGAACAAAGATTGATATTTTTATATATGCATGTTGGTATAGGCATGAAAATTTTAGCTCAAATATAATTTTAAATAGCAGAAATAATAAATTGCATCTTCAAGTCTGGCAATGTTAGTGTTATTATGTTGGCAGTTAAATCAATTATGGACAAATCATCATCAGAAGGAAATGAGTTACTTTTACAGTTAGACTAAATTATTGAGCAGCACTAGTTTCTCCATCCAAAAAGAAGACACATCTGAATCATCAATTAAGAATATACAGACCATACAATATAAACTTTCTCAAGAAAAGAAGCCAGACGGTTCTTTGAGATTTGTGAATTTTACAAAAATTTGTAATCTACATAAAATAGTAAAATAAGCTGATGATAGTTTTGCAACACAGCATTGCAGGGCTTTCCATGAATTGCAGTGTAGCAAATGAAAAAGATACTCTATATGATAAGAAAAAGTAAGACAGAGATAAGAAATAAATCATAACCAGAAAAATCATTGTCCTTAATAACTGCAGTGAAAGTCAATAAACTGATTGATAGCAACTGTCATGAGTACACTAATACTAACAAAGCAAACCATAACACAAATGTATATAGCATGAAGCACTCATCATGCAACAATATCAAGACTCCTGACAGATCAAGATCTACACATAGCTGTACGATGTGTCCTGTAAAATACTTGACTTTTTTAAAATTGTGATGTTAAAAGAGTACAGTAATACCCTGACTTACGCGAACCCGGAGTTACACGATTTTCAAATCTCGTCGATTCGTCTTTTGTTTGAGCGCCACACAACCCTTGATTACTCACTCCCCCCACACTATTGTTCAGCTTACATGTTCGGATGTGTCATGCAGAATCCACACATAGCTACAATTTATTTTGTGTTATTTATTTCTGTGTTTGTTATATCTACGGAGACTTGAGAGACTCTACTATGTCATCCAAATGATGTAGAACTAATTCTTCTGCATCAAACAAGAAAAGAAAAACTTTATCTTTGGAATGTAAAGTTAACATTGGGTACATTCGTAAAGTCGAATGAGTTAAGCGAGAATGAAGTCATTGTTATTCCTATTTTGTTAGACTTTTCGAACGATTCGTTACTAACGCATTTAACTCGTTTGACTTTACAAACGTATCCATTAATAAAGACTTTGATACAAAAATGAAAATTTGTGAACTGGCAAAGAAGTTTGATCTACCGGAATTGTCGGTCAGAACAATTATAAAAGGCAAAGAAAAAATTCTCGAAGCTGTGAAAAATGCTCAATCTTTAAATTCAAGCATCATTCCTAAACCATACTCTTGACAGTGTTTATGTCAATAGCTTTATAAAATATCATATGCAGAGATAAATTAAATTTTGTTTATTAAAGGTATTTAATAAAAGCCTTGTGCAATATCAATGTCAATAAAGAATTTTTTCGCTTTTTATGCTGTCAGCATTTTTATTCAAAAATCAGTGTTTTTCTACCAACATCCCAGCTATTCCCCACACTAAAGGTTGACAAGTATGTTTCATTAATAAAAAATTTTTTTAAATAATTATATTTGGAGTTTTATTTGTGATACAACAAAGCTGAATAACAAGCTTTCTATATTGTTTGGCTGTATTACTAAAATTAATACCAAAAAACCTTAAATCCAGTAAAAATAAAATGTTTATTAATGGAATGAATGTTTTTGATAATGTACAATGGCAATCTACACATTTTAGAATAGAACATAACTAGCAGACCCCACCACACGTTGTTGTGGCTCAAAATGTATCTATTATAAATGTATAACACTTTTCCCATGGGAAAATTTTTCGAAAAATCCCTTCTTAGTGTATATTCTCTTGACATACCCTATTAAAATGCAAAAAAACTGTATCTAAAATAGTATAATATAAGCCAAGTTCTTCACAGTAAGCCTTAATCCTCTCCCTCTCCCCTGCAGGGGGATATCAAAAAATCCCTTTTTAGTGTATTTTCTGTTGATGTACCCTATTAAAACACAATCAAAAATGCAAAAACTGCATCTAAAATAGTATAAATAGAAGCAGAGTTCTTCACGGTAAGACTTAATTTTGTCCATCTCCCCCGTGGGGGGAATTTTGACATGTATATTATATAAAAACAAGTGCATATTCGAATGCAACATTGTGTCAAAATTTCAAAGAAATCAGTAGGAACAAACAAACATTACATTTTTATTTAGACAGATAGATGACCTGCTTTAGTTCATCCTCACAGAAAAGCAAACTCAGGTTGTAGTACTCGTGGAGTTAGCGCCATCTGTTGGACATAAAAGCCTTAATCCTAGATGATAACTTTTAATTTATATGAATGTTTAATGGAATAATATACAGCCTAGGTCCATTCTAAATATTGGTGAAAGAATTTTTGAAATTGGATGAGTAGTTTCAGAGATTACCTCCTACATCCAAACTTACAAACTTTACCTCTTTATAATATTAGTATAGATTAGCCAGAGCATGCCTACTATATCATGCTTAGTCTATGACACAACTTAAATATTTGGAAAGGCTTGAAACTTAAATGGCTAGTAAGAACCACAATTAACTTTAAATATTCTGTAATGGTGCCACATTTGAAGTTTTATAGTTTTGTTTATCACCATTTTGCTATATTTATGTTTTTATTAACAATATTTGTACATAATCACTGTATTTAATTATTTTATTTTGTATTTAACATTTTTCTTGTTAATTATTTATTCCTATTTTCTATGATTTATTTGATATATATATGCTCCTGCACATGTGATATATAAATATCCTATATAAATCTGTAATTTTCAAATGTGCTTCCTGTTCTATTTATTACATTCCATTCTAAAACATGAAGATGATTGTTGTACATAGTCAAAAATGTTCATTCCATTAATAAGCATTCTATTTTTACTGGATTTAATATTTTTTGTTATTAGTTTTGGTAAATACATCCAGTTTTTGATTTTTTTTTTCCTCATTTTAAACATGGCTATGTTGGACAAATGTTACAGGAGTTTTATTTGTTTTAAATTGTAAATTTATTCTGAGACACCCTGTACTAATGCAAGCAAGCAAAATTATTAGTGTCAGCACACATTACGAATAGTTGTGTTTCTCGTTTCAAACATTGCATCAAAGTAATGATAGTATGTGCTTAAAACAGTGTCATCATTTTTAGTTATAAAAAAACATAATTTTTGAATTACTATTATTTTTAATCTGTAAAATTAATTATACAAGTACTATATTACTTAAGTACTCTTCAAAAATATGTTATATTGATTGTCCTTAAAACTACTCTCTGGCCTTTTTGTGCTCTCTGAGCAATAAAGGGCCTAAAACCACAAATAAATAAATATATATAAAACTATGCTCAAACTAGATAGCCTTTTAAAATTCAATAATATGACACTTTAATCCAAAGTTATAATAAACGATTAAAGTATATTATTTGTAATTAAAATTAGCCTTGGAAATCGAAAAGCTATTTTTTCATCCACTTTCAGCCTTGAAAGATTACAACATTATTTACTTGGAAAACTTAATGTCACATCAAATGACCAATTCTTCTATATATAACTGATAAATAAATTAAAAACAAAACAAATAATCGTTTTTCATTTAATTTCAAGTGATACTGTCGTTCCGTCTCTGTTTACATCTCATTTTTTTGTTCTCGGATCGAACATTTTTGCTTATGAATCTAAAATAAAATTTCTAAATAAATAAATAAATAAATATCCAATTATTATATTACAAAAATCATTAATCAATCCAAGTGTATAAAGAATTTAACAACCTTAACAAAAAGTATACAAGCAATACCTTACCATAAACAATTGATTTATGAAAATTTAAGTTATATATTAAAAAATGAATAAATTTTGTGCCAACAACTATTATTATATCATGTATTTAAAACAAAAAACAATTATATCACCCATGTAAAACAAAAACATATATCAAGTACACATATCTGAAAGCAAAATGAAAATTTAAAATTGATTATTACATATCAAACAATATAAAATTAACAAAAACAGCTGCTATTAAGAACATTACACATTTTTAAATTAAGGAAAAACAATGGCACATTTTATTGGTTTGTAATATAATAATCTATACTTGCAAGGCTTTGCTTAGTGATTATAAAATATTTTATGTATGTAATCTATTATAAGCAATGACAACAATGAGAACTTACGTGACTTTTTAATATAATATCAATTATACATATTTGGGAATTTATCCAAATATTGTCTATTAGTTTACTACCGCTATACTCTTCATCACTTGTCGTTTATTCCGGATAACTCTCAAGACTATTGATTGGAGAAATTGATACCACGTGACCGGTTGCATTGGATTTCGGGAATGAATTTTAACGAGATCGAGGCAGAAAAATCTATAAATCTCGAATCCAAAAGCTACCATTAGTTATAAATTACTGTACAGTACTTATATATTTCAGTAATATGCTTGTTTTCCGTTTGCGTATTAGTTTGTCAACAGAGGGCATTATAAGCTAATCGTCGACGTTAAATATAAATTCGGTTGTTGTAATATAACGTAATAATAAATCGCCTACCAGTTAGAAAAATAAATTTGAAATACTTATCGGCGGTTGTAATAATACTATTAAATTAAAAAATTCTAGATTTTTTTTGTCTGATTTCAAAACAATTATTGGTTTTATTTTAAATTAATAAATTATTTAATTATAGTATTATAATAATTAAATACAGTATAGCATAATTAATGTAGAGGGCGCGTTTCCTTGTCAAGAAGGTAAGTAAGCAAGTCAATGACGTAGTTCGAAGTACGTCATCGGTTTACTTACTTAACTGCTTGACAAATAAACGCCCCTAATGATAATCCTTTTCGTTAAAATTTAAATATATTTAAACCCTGATAAATTATGTATAATCTAATTTCAAAATGAGTGAATGCTTTGTTCTAATAATAAAACATTATTTATTATTTTATTGGAATTTTTATTATACTCGTACATTACGTAATAATTGATTACAGTATTACCATAAGCTGTGTTGTTTTGACCGCTAGAGATACTAAACAAGTGTACAAATCGAATTTAAAATATATTAAAACTTTTTAAAATTAAAAAAATTTCTGAGTTTTCCGCTATTGTTCTCGCTTGTAATGTTATTTATTTTATTTGTTTCTAATATATTGTGAGATATCTATGACTTCGTTGATTTATTATTCTGATAAATCGATAAACTGAATTTTGGCCAGTGTTTCTACTTCTAATTTTTAAATGTTTAAACGTAGAAATCATAATCTTAATTTATAAAAGACTAATTTAGAATATTTAATAATAAAGTTATTATTATTATTATTATATTAAAGTTTATTTGAGTGGCAGTCTGTCCTATTCCTGCAAGAATGCACTTTTCAACTCCTGGGTGGTTCTCGGAGGGAGAATGCGAGCTGCAATTGCCCTCCCAAGAGCGTCTCAGACGTTTAATAGGGTTTAGGTCTGGAAATCTGGCTGGGCAATCCATCCGGCGAATGTCTCACTTTCAAGATAATCGTCGACAGGTGAGCCCTATGTGGACGAAGTTGCCATCCAAAAAAAAAATGATCCGAGAGCCAACTGCGCCCCTGAAAACTCGAACATAAGGCTGTAGGCAGTGCCGGCCCGAAGCAAGTTTTAGGATGGAGCGAGATCCTATTATGGCGCCCCCTTGGTTGCCCCTAATTTATACCCTTTAATTTTCTTTACCACTGAGGCGCCCCTAGGACTTCGTGCCTGGAGCGACTGTTCCGTTCGCCCTATGGTAGGGCCGGCTCTGGCTGTAGGATTTTATTCCTATACCTTTCAGTAGTCAGGGATACTCCGTCAAACACATGGAAGGGTGTGTGGCCGTCCAACATGATGCCTGCCCAGATCATGATACCTCCGCTGCTATAGCGATCTCTTCTCGATTTTGAAGGGAAGAAATCGGGTCCCAGGTTCTCTACAGATGAAGGTGAGTTGAGAATCCGTATCCAGGCTGAATTGCGGTTTGTCTGTGAAGAGAACGGTACCCCACTGAAGTCTGGTCCAAGACTGCCGTTGTCTGCACCATGCTGAAAAGGTTCTTTTGTGTGCTGAAGTGAGCGGGATGCAAACAGCGGGTTTTCTGGCAAAAAAAACCTCTCTCATGAAACCTCCAGGAAACAGTTACCCTTGAAAGTCTGGGTCCAGTGGTGGCATGCAGCTCACGAGATAGTTGTGAAGCTGTAGTCCTGTGGCGCCTCGCTGAAAGTGACAAATAACGATCTCCATTGGCCGTCGTGGTTCTTGGACGACTTTGCCCAGGTCTTCTCGACATCGATCTAGTGTCCTTAAACTGTTTCCATAAATTGTAAACAACTCTGGGTGTTACATTGAGCTTTTTATCAACCTGCACTTGTGATTGCCCCGCCTCCAATCAACCCACGATTCTCCACATCATTCCGTCATCAAGATGTTCGTGGCTACTTATTTTACCTGATTGTTTATGAAATTGAACCAATTCTTGCAAGAAAAACAGCAAATGTCGCCGAGGAATACGAGCAAACTAATCGCGGACAAAGCCACGTGTACTTTTCGTGCCTTCGCTGTCAAAGTTCTGCCCACACACGTGTAAACTTACGTATTCAACATTAAAACTTTGCATTCTTATTCGGTGGCATAATTTGTATTTTCGGCTCATTACTTTTTGTTAATATCGACAAAATGTGAACATTCTCTTAATTTTAAATTAAACACCAATTTATTTCTAGTCAAAGATTAATATCGAGCTGAAATAATAGTAAAAATGCTAATTTTAATTTATAGATGTTTATTCTAATTCTAATTCATAAATAAATAATTCAAAATAAATAAATATATAGTAAAATAAATAAATAAGTTATATATAGATACAGTTATATACAGTATACAGTAGACTATATAAAATTTTAATTATATTACAGATATGAGATAAATTTTCGTTCATTTAATGTCGAATACTTCTACTGTAGTTACTATTTTATGACAAGAAATTATGGGATAACGTGTGCCAAGTGTTAATATAAAAAATAAATATATACAAGATGTGAAAGTTAATTGAATTGGTTAATAATATTCAACACGTGTTGTGCAAGTGTACGAAGTTTTATAGTCTCATATGCACGTTTATCAAATAAAAAAAAAATTATAAATGGATGACAAATTGTTCTGAAAAGAATATAAAATATCTGTGTATGAGTTTAAAGTGAAAAATATAATTTAAAGAAATCAATCTATTATTACAAAAAATAATTATATTTTTTAGAGTTAATTTTGACTGTAATTCTTGGACCTTTTATATAGTAGGAGAACACTTTTAGGATATCATAAATTATAACATTATTCACATCTATTAATAGAATTTTCCTAGAATAAGAATGGAGCCGATGTGAGCGGTTCGTTAGAGCTTCGTGGGCGACCAGGCAAATTAGGTTGCCCCATAACTTCAGACATTTTTCTTCCGGGAAATTTTGAGAGAAAATATTTTTCTATAATATATTTATTTGGAGACTCTGTTGGGGGCCCCTGGCAATTATTCTTTCTGCCTGTAGGATGACACGCCACTGGCTGATCAATTTATTGTATTTTAAACTATAGGCCTATATGTATTTTATATCCCTTTTTTGTTTTGTCTGGTTGTGCAACGAACAATTGTTAGCTATCAGACAAGACGCCCTTTGCACCCACATCTCGAAGATGCGTGTGTGAATGAGACACCGGCATTGTTTATGTTTATCAACCAACGTTGTAAAGGAATTTCGTCTATTTTTCCGATTTTAGGGATTCCCCTTTCTAAATTTCTAGCAATATCGATTAAAAATAATTCAGAGAAACGAATTAAAATAAGAAAATTATCCATTAATTGTTATAAATCTCACAACATGCGAAGGAAAAGACGAAGGGGGGTGACAGTCGTTCCCCCTTTTTCAATGGTGTTAGATGACAGACGCTACTCTATCCATGTCACGTGGACGCAAATAATTCTTAATAGACAAAAGAGAAGGACGACTACTTGATGATCAATCATGCTTATCGCAAATTACCTCAACTTCCTCCGGAACAAAATCGTGATTGGTCAAAAAGAAGAATAAAATAAAAGGGAATGACGAAAATCAGAGATTTAGTAAAGGGACTGAGTGAAGGAGAAAGAAGACAAAAAGGTCAATAAGAAAGGGAGAGAAAGTGAGGGAAAAGAAGAAAATCAACACAAAATCCAGAAATAAAGTCAACTCCTAGAAAAGACAACTCTTTTCCTTGTATGTTGTAAGTCACGAAGTTCTGATACTCCCGTTTTACAAATAGAAATAGTTTAACTTCCTAAAACAGATTTTGTACTTACTATTAATTTAAACTAAGTTCAAATGTTATGTTCCGTTTTTCCATAATAAATTTTCTCTTTTATTCTTAAATTAGTTTACTTGACTTTGCATTCATCCTCCTGAGAGACTCATTCTTGTACTTTGGAGTGACTCTTACCTTCACGCCTTAACTGTTTTTTTTTTTTTTTTCCTTGTCGAAATCGGAGGTGTGTCCGACAACACACACCTGGTAACAGGTTTATACACATGTGTGTATAAACTCCCATAATTCAATTTTCGACGGCCCCCAAGCTCCCACAAAAATTTCTAGTGAAAAAAAAGAAACGTAATTAATTATTTACTACATTTTCTTTACCTCCTCTTGGAATCACACCGAGTATAAAATGGAATAAAAACGAATAAAAATTCGTTTTTATTCCATTAAATAAACGCGACACACGATCAATCTGCCAAAGGGAGGATACCTCCCGTGAGGTGTTTTATAAGAAACTGGCCACTATTTAGGCGTTACTAACATGAAGAAAATCCGGAAAATTCCACTTATCCGGTTGTTGGCCAGGTATTTTCCATAATTTTAGCTTAAAATATCAATTTTAAATAATTATTTCAGACAGATATTTTATCTAACATTTATTATTGTTGTTATTGACGTTGACGACACGACATTTATTTTGTTCTTTCAATTATGAAAACAATGGATGTTCTGAAATACATACTTCCGTTATTCAAAATATTTAAATTAAAGTATCGTTCACTTATCAATAAAGAAAAATATCACAGATTTTATCGCACATTCGAATATCTGCTTCCTCTATTTTACATAAATATCATAACAGATGGAGCCATACACGCAGTTTTAAATGTTTCCGGGAAAGTTAAGCAACTCGTCGCTGGGTTTTTATAGATTGAAAAGCTACCGTAATTGTGTTCAAATACTGT